CTGAAGCGAAGTCTCGGTTGCCACGGAAGCTGCCCGTGAGGTCTCGATTTGCTGCCAGGTTGTCCAGGTACGTTTGAAGTGTGAGTCGCTCGTAGAAGATGACATCACGTGCTGCTACTGTTTCCTTCGAGTGGACGTCAAAAAATTTCCATGCGTTGTAATGCATTTCGATGCCCAGGTGTAGTTCCCACTGTGCGCGTTGAGAAAATCTTCCGGCTCTTGCAGTGTGCGGGCGGTACTGTACCATGCACCCGAAAACTCGTAACATTTTTGTGTTGCCCAGTTTTCCTGTCCACAGCAGGTGCGGTGATGCGTTGTTCGGAAGTGATGATGACGAGAGCAAGTTGTGCAGCATGACAGCGTGGTCCATCGCCTCAGGCCACTGGTTATTGGGCAGTCGCATGCCACGCAACAGTTTGCGCATGGTGTTCTGGAGTTTTTTGTTCATCCGTTCTGCCACGCCTTGCTGTTGATGGGCGTAGGGAAGCGAGATGAGTCGCCTGATGCCTCGTTCTCCGAGGTACTGCTTGAACCTTTGGGACTGATATTCCCCTCCTCCGTCAGACTGGAAGCTTTTCAGCTTTGCTCCCGATTCTCAGTCTGCCACAGGTAGCCAGGCGACGAAGGCTTCGAAGGCCATGTCGCGACTTGAGAGATTAAGGTGCCAGACGTAACGGGTGGCGACGTCGATGAAAGTTATCACGTAATTATATGCTCCTTGTCCTTGTTCGTGAGTATACAGGATGTCGTTGTATACTTTCTCGAGTGGTGCATAGGTTGGCGCGCTTGGATTGTGGTGAGAGACGAACGGTTGATGGGGTAAGTCGGCTTCGGGACAGGTAAAGCATGTTCCGCGGACTCGTTGGAGTTCTTTGCCGTCGAGTAGAAGGAGTGGATCTTTGTCGAGCACTGCTGCCTTGATTGTATTGTTTAACGTGGTGTTGCTTGGATGACCCAGTCTTTCGTGCCACAGGGATTCGCTCGCACGATGTCCGGGTGAGCGTCTGTACAGGTCGGAGTTGGAGTAAAAGCCCGCGGTGAAGTTGGCGCTTCTGTGAAATTCACGTGGAGTGGGAGCTAAATGCTGCACAGGAGTCGGTGGAGTGTTGTCGATGAAGGTTGGTGCCGTCGAAGAGCTCGTGAGTGGTGTCAGAATATTTGCCTTACTTGCTTACTGCGTGACTTTGCTTGTACTGTGATCTATATATATACCTGCATGCTTGCACTTGCTAGGGTATGATCACTGTATTGTTTGTTTCTCTTTTATATATAACACTGCATGTGAACTGGCCTTGTGGCCCGTTGCTTGTGCTCGGACTGTGTGATGACTTTGTGTAGGCTATAGTGGGGTAGCCCATAAGGGGTACAACCCAATTAGGGTTAGTACTTGTACCCAACTGTTTCATAGTTCATTCATTCTCGTTCGTTAATTTGGCATGGAATCAGAGCAGGTTCCTTGGGCCCACCACCTGCTACGCTGCTAGTAACCGCCCCTAGGCCTGTCGCTCCTAGCCTACGCGGCCCGTCGACCCCTAGCCCGCGCCCGGCCCCGTTCCTAGCCCGCGCCCGGCCACGTCGGCCCTTAGCCCCGCGCCCCGCCTCGTACCTAGCCTGCGCCCAGCCCCGTACCTAGCCTCACGCCCGGCCCTGTATCGCACCTGGCCCCGTTTCGCACCCAGCCCCGTATCGCGCCAGGCTCTGTATCGCGCCCGGCCCCGTACCTAGCCTCGCGCCCGGCCTCCGTTCCGCACCCAACGCCCGGCCCCGTACCTGGCCTAGCGCCCGGCCCCGTATTGCGCCCAACGCCCGGCCCCGTTCCTAGCCCGCGCCCGGCCCCATACCTAGCCTTGCGCCCGGCCCCGTATCGCGCCCAACGCCCAGCCCCGTACCTCCCCAGCGCCTGGCCCCGTCCCTTGCCCAGCGCCCGGCCCCGTATCTAGCCCGCGCCCGGCCCTGTACTTAGCCCGCGCCTGGCCCCGTACCTGATCTCTCGCGCTCGGCCCCGTATCGCGCCCGGCCCCGTACCTGCCTAGCGCCCGGCCCCGTACCTGCCTAGCGCCCGGCCCCGTCCCTTGCCTAGCGCCCGGCCCCGTATCACGCCCAACGCCCGGCCCTGTACCTCCTCAGCGCCCGGCCCCGTACCTCCCCGTCTCCATCATGTTTGGGTCGAAGCCTGCTAATTGATTCCCGGGAGTTTCCGTTGACTCCGCAGCTGGTCTTGTTGCTGTGCCTTCTTCTGTCTGTAGGCCAGAGGCTGAAGGTGGAGTAGGGGTAGTGCCGAGAGATCCGTTAGAGGAGCTCCTCTCCTTCTGTGTTGCCATGTATTTCGTTGTCGTAGGTATTTAAGAAAATGATCTTGCCCTGTTTGCTCTGATACCATGTTGGGCTGAGAAAAGCCCTTAGGATCTTTCAAGGCTAAGATCAGTGTTGAAGTAGAGATGTTGTAATTGCGGAAGCGTTAATATAATAGTTGGTTGAACCACCTTGTACTGGTGTGTGAGAACAAGATAAGTTAATTAATAGCAGGGAAATACAAGGCTTTTATATGATTGCAAAGGAATATGAAAGGTTCTACTTTTAACTGTTTTGCTGTTGCGGTTCGATACAGTGCCGACTCGGGTAACTGCTCAGTAACGAGTCAGTTATGTGTCCTTGCTATCGCACTGTAGTTTTCGTCAAGTCAAGGGTCAGCGACCTTTGACCTCCACGTAACCTCCAGCGGTTGCTTTTGTTGACTCGTGTGTTTCTTCGCTGTAGTCTGCTCCGTTTCGTGTCGATACTTTGATACTTCAGAAGCATTTAAATTACTTGTTTCCAACACACTTAACCATCACAAATTACAAAGGCTTGAGAATTCTAACGTCAGGAATCATATGAAATTTTTAATGGGATGTGTGGCAGGGCTCTCGTTATCAGACCAAATTGGTCTGATGGTCTGATTTTCAGACGTAGATTTTCGCTTTCATCTGATCTCTAAGACGATGCTTTTTATTTCGTCTGATCCGTAAGATGACTGATTTTAGTTCATCTGATATTTCAGAGCAAGCTCTTTAGTTAGTCTGAAATTTCAGAGAACGAGTTGTTTTTCGTCTGATACCGATCCCCCTCCCCCCAACCCTCCCTTTCCCCCCCGATCTCTCGCTACTCTACCAGCTCAGCCCCCCCTTCTATGCCCTCGCTCCTCTTCCAGGCCTAGTCCTGTCCAAGCCTTCTCCCCCTTTCCCCAACCTGAGGTCTCTCCAGGTCTCGCTCCCAGCCTAGCCCGCTTTCATGCCCCTCCTAATGTCTCGCAGCCCAGCCCCCCCTTCCCTTTTCGTCGCGTCCCTCCACCTCCACCCACCCTGATCCCTCGCGTCGCAGACCCTCATTGTCATGTGCGTGCCCCTCAATAGCCACACAGCTGTCTGTCAGCTAGCGAGCTGTCAGCACCGCGCCAGGGGCGCGTTCATTAACAAACAAGCGTGATTATGTTAGACAAGTGTGTTAGCTAAATCAGACTGTGCAAATTGAATCGTATGAAGAATCAGACTAAGCTTTAACATTCGTCCAAAAAATCAGACCAAAAAAATATGCCCGTCTGAACGTCAGACGGAACGGTTTTTTTACTTAGGTATGTCAGACAGGCCCAAATCCTAGCAAGAGCCCTGATGTGTGGGTGGGGTGGAGACTGTGGAGAGAAAGACAGATTTTGAAGGGTAATGTGTGGAGTCAAAATGAACAAATTCACTAGAATGTTTCTGGTTGTTGGGCAGACGCTTTGAAGCACAGTTTTACTGCGTGGAATCTCAATGTATCATACTCACTGCCAGCAATGTGAGGTCAGCATTGAAAAGGCTCCAACAACTAGAACAAAATTTGCATGCCAATTATCTCTCATGTTTTACTGCTGTTAGCTATTTCGGATTGCCTCATAGCGTGCTGGTCTGGTCTGTAACGACGAAAACAATCGAGCGTAACCTGAAGCTTAGGCTAGGCTGGTTGAGGTTCAGGGCGACTGGAGACTCACCGAGCCGTGTTGTCTGGTTCGTCTGGCTCGTTTGTCCGCATCCCCAGTCACCCAGGGGAATGAAGCTTCGCTTCCGCAACTTCCCCAAGCACACACAGCGGACCGCGATCACCCTGGGCGCGACTCGGTTCAGGGAATGTGCATGGAGGGAGGAATGTGGGGGTACGGATTTGGCATTGGTCGCCCCCATTTGCACGATAAATGCGCGAGAACAAGGGTTTGCAAAACAGACCAATTCGAAGCAACTCGACTTCACAACTACTCGACATCCCAACGCCACTCCAACCACTTCGTACAACTCCTTTACCGTCCGAAGCACCTTGAACCGTTCCCAAATCCACTGCATCTCTGACGAACTCAGCTCAGCGTAGACACTACAGGCATGGCTCTCAAGAACAGATGCTCCAAGATTGAAGACATCGAATCAGGAGCAGCAACTTTCTCCGCTCCAGACGCCACGCTCCCCGCCTCCTCGTCGCCACCCAGAAACTCGCTCCCACTCTTTTGCTGCGCACCTCCGCTCGCAAAGAACGCGTTTCCCGCAAGTGGCAGCGCGAATGAGGAGAATCCGGGAGAGTTCACCGCAATTTACCCTTCCGATTTGCACATCGCCAACCCTGAGGAAGTAACCAGCACTGCAGACGAAGTAGAAAAGCTTTGCAAGGACGAGAAGGATCGCGAAAGGCGTCGTCTCCGGACCTGCTGCTGCCGCGTCGCATGCTGGTCGCTCATCGTCCTCGCCGTCGTTATCGTCGGATTAGGCGTCGCAGGGCTCGTCGCATACCTGACAGTCTCGAAGCAACAGCCGGAGGTGAAGGTCGAGCAAATCAACATCATCCGCGTCGGCATCACAAAATCCGGCGGCGGGTTCCTGGGCCTCGAAAACTTCCGCCTTGGCCTATCCGCGTTAATAAACGTCACCGCGCTCGTGTATAATCCCAACAACTGGGAAGTGGAAGCGGAAAACATCAGCGTGGACGTAAAATTCTTCGACATGAATATTACAAATGTGACCGTCCCCGGCGTCGTGGGTATGAGCAAGGGTGGGAGCGCGGAGTTGACTGTCCCCCTTGATATTGTCGACGCGCCCCTGGCGACGCTGAGTCCCGCGAGCCTGCTGACGACGCCGCTGCTGCATGGGCGCGCGGAAATGCGGGTGGTGGTTGGCACTGCAGCGCGCGTGAAATACTGGGGCATCTCGTCGCCGCGCGTTATGGTGCATGTGGAATGCACGATGCAGCTGGACCCGTTTTCCGCTAAGAAGTACAACGAGCAGTGTACACCCAGCATCTCACTGTAAAGGGAGCACTAGCAGTGTAGGTTTTAGGGATACCGTAGGCGTCGCCACACTCCTTCAGTAGGCGTTTGCTTGTTTTTTCAGGGCATATTCCTGACTTTGTGTCAGTCCCTGGCACAGGGTTTCACACAAATTCGGGAATGCGCTCCCTTAGTTTTGTACTTTTTGTTGTTTGATTACTATCCATAACTAAGCTACTGTTCATACCTAGAGCTGCCCTGAAATTTCAAGCGCTTCCCACTCAACAACCAGTTCCCACTCAACAATCGCTTCCCCCTCCCACCCCGCTTCCCCTTCCCACCCCGCTTCCCCCTCCCACCCCGCTTCCCCCTCCCAACCCGCTTCCCCCTCCCAACCCGCTTCCCCCTCCCACCCCGCTTCCCCCTCCCACCCCGCTTCCCCCTCCCACCCCGCTCCCCCCTCCCACCCCGCTTCCCCCTCCCACCCCGCTTCCCCCTCCCACCCCGCTTCCCCCTCCCACCCCGCTCCCCCCTCCCACCCCGCTTCCCCCTCCCACCCCGCTTCCCCCTCCCACCCCGCTTCCCCCTCTCTCTCCCCTTCCCCCTCTCTCTCCCCTTCCCCCTCTCTCTCCCCTTCCCTCTCTCTCTCCCCTTCCCCCTCTCTCTCCCCTTCCCCCTCTCTCTCCCCTCCCCCCTCGCTCTCCCCTCCCCCCGCCCTCTCCCATTTCCCCCCCCCTGCCAGCCATCACTCGCCTCCCTGCCACCCGCCGCCCCTATTCTTCGGAAGCTTATCCTCAGCGCATGCCCATCCATTGATGGGGCCGGCGTCTTTCGGCCGTATCTTAAGGTGGGTCGGCAGCAGTTGTCTCTCGTGGCCGGCAGCAGCGAGAGTGTGTAGTGATGGGGAGGGTGTGTGCTGTGCAATGATGTGTGCACACTTGAATAGCATCATGGTGCTATGCGGTGAATATACTCTTGTCAAGCAAGCTGCTCACATGCATGCATCGCCCACCACACCCCATGTATGTATGCTATGCTGCTATGCCGTGCACGGCTAATCATTATCTGGCGGTTACCCTTGGCTGTGCCAGGTGTTTCGGAGGGGAGCACAAGTGAGCAGCAGTGTCTTGCCTGGGGAGGTGAGGCGTGGGGGAGGTGAAGCGTGGGGGAAGTGAGTTGTGGGGGAGGTGAGGCGTGGGGGAGGTGAAGAGAGGGGCAGAGCGGGCAGATGGAAAAGCAAAAAGGGTGGGTGGGAGAAAAGGGGTAGATGGGGAGACAAAGGGGTAGGTCGGGAATCAACGGGTTAGATGAAGAAGCAATGGGGCAGACGGGGAAACAAAGGGGTTGATTGGGAAACAAAGGGGTTGATTGGGAAACAACCCTGCCTTTGCCATCCTTGCCTCTCCTCTCCTCTCTATTTTTCCTTTTTAATCTCTGCTCTTACCCCAATCTCCACCCGTTACCCTCCTCTTGCCACCTACCTCCAGGTTCCTCCATCCTTCCCCACAGGGTCAGCCTGGATGGCGCCCTTTGAGGTCAACGACCCTGTGTGGGGCGACTGGCTATGCCTCCTGTTATAGTCACAATAGGCTTGAATGTGCCTAAAACGAAAGATAGAGAGCACAGACGGATTTCTGCACAGCGGCTTCAAACGTTGATAGCGTTCTGCTCACAGCTGCGAATGACTTGATTCAAATTGGATCTGGAGCGTCTTCACGTCGTCTACAATTAGCAATTTAGATTGCACGATTTGATAAAGAATTGACGACACAGCGCCGGTTTGAACGAACGGTACTATGGCAGCCACTATAGTCTTAGAACTCAAGATAGGAAGAGTTAGGAAGAGTTACGAGTTGGGAATGACTCCCAGCTCCTACAAACCCCAAGAGCCGAGGTACAGTGATGTGGAACAGTGCCACACTGTCCCCAACCAAGAAGGGTCTCGAAACTACCCTTCACAAGGGCCTACACCAACTGAAATGTTACACTACACAAAGTAATGTAACTATCTTCAATATCTTGAGGTGTACCCTTTTGGCGAGCTTCGCGATCACTTGAATGTTGACACCAGGGGCTCGGGTTCTTCATCACAAACTCATCCTTGAGTTCTTGATGGGTCTGCTGCACACACCTGCGACACGCCGAACGTTCGACACAGGACAAAATAGGAACCGCGCGAGACACACAAGCGACAAGATAGAAACCGCGCGGGACACGAATAGCGATAACTCGCTATTGACTTGACACGCACACATTCGACATCATGACTCAACATTCACACACTATTATAAGCATTAAATATATATTATCTCATGCCCTCATACCATTCCATGCACACACGCATGCACGCACACGGACAACAAGCCGAGTGCAAACCGTAGGGTTGCACCAACAAACTCCCCCTCGGATTGTTGGCCTTAGGATATGTTGCTCTCTCAGTTCAGAGCCATCCCAGCCAGCTTGCAACACTTCCAATGCTGCTGCTCCACCAGCCTCTTGGTCATCATGTCAGCCGGCTGCCCCGTGGTCTTCACGTAGCGCAACTCAACTTCACCCGCGGTTACCATGCTCCTCGTCCAATGCCACTTCACCCTCATGTGCTTCGTGAGTCCATGCAACACAGGGTTCTTAGCAAGAGCAATGGCACCCTGGCTGTCACAGTACAGTGGGGTAGGTCCTTGCTGCTCCTCCCCCAATTCAGCCAACAAACGCCGCTGCCATACAATCTCCCGTACCGCACGGAAGAGTGCCATGTACTCGGACTCCACCGAGCTCAAAGCTTGGTCAACCTGCTTCTTGCTCTCCCAAGCAGTTGGGCCTCCACCAACACAGCATATGAAGCCTCCCACACTTGTCATGTCCTCTGGTTCCGATGCATATGAAGCATCCGAGTAGGCGGTGAGGAACAAACGCCCGGGTTCAACACCATCCGCACCCTTTTGGCGCCTTTGTGCCGCCGCCGAGTATTGCAACCCAACTGTCGGTGTTTGGCCAAGATACTTGGCCACCCTCATTCCAGCTGCTACCTGCTCCTCATTAGGGCATTGCACTACCCTAGCTAGCTGCCCAGTAGCAAACGCGACGTCCGGTCGGGTGTTTACCGCCGCATACATGAGGCTGCCCACCAACGAGTGAAAACGGCGCCTCTCCTCTTCACAAACGCTCTCCTCCTCTGGTCCCTTCACACACTTGAACCCAGAGGGAAAGGGAGTAGCCAGATGACCTTCATTCTGGCCAAAGTTGGCAGCCAACGCCTCCAGGTACTTCCGTTGGTGCACTCGCATGCACCGCTTCTCCACGTCTCGTTCGATGTGGAGCCCAAGGTAGAAGTTCACGTCACCAAGGGACTTGCACTTGAACTTGTCATGCAGCTTCAGCATCACCTCCTTCACAAGGTCAGAGGAGGGTGAGAATATGAGAATGTCATCCACATAAACCACCATGAAGCTCCTCTGCTCCCCCTCGCCAAGCATGAACAAGGAGTGATCGGCCGTTGAGGGAGTGAAGCCGATCTCCTCCAACACTTCGCGCAGCTTCATGTACCATTGCCTAGGGGCCTGCTTCAGCCCATAGAGGGCCTTCTTCAGCTTCCACACTCTGCCACTACCATCATCAAACCCCTCTGGCTGCGCCATAAAAATCTCCTCCTCAAGGATGCCGTTAAGGAATGCCGTTACGATGTCCATTTGTTTTACTACCCATCCTTTGATGGCGGCTCCCGCGAATAGGGTTCGCAGCGTCGTCGGCTTCACCACAGGGGCAAACAGCTCCTTGAAGTCCACCTTCTCCTTCTGCTGGTACCCCTTGGCTACAAGCCTAGACTTGTAGCGCTCGATCTTGCCGTCGGCATCCGACTTGATTTTGAAGAGCCACTTGGACGTTATCGCCGTACGCCCCTCCGGTAGCTCCACCAATTCAAACGTGTCATTCTCCTCGATGCTCTTCAGCTCACTCTCCATGGCCTTCTTCCAATCCTCAGCATCACTACTCTCCAAAGCCTCCTTGAGAGTTGCTGGTTCTCCCGGCATCTCCACCGGAGAGAAGAACGCGAAGGCACACTCCTCGTAGTCACTCTCCTCGTCGTCTCCGACCATCATTGCCGCTCCGGCCAGGGCTGTCTTGCCCTGCTTTCCCGGCGCATCATAGGTCAGCCTATTAGGGGGTTGAACTTTCCTCTTCCCCCTTCCTTCCTCCTCAGCTGCAGGGACTTGAAGGCCTTGGCGTTGCTGCGGTGTGGCTCGAATCCGTGGAGCACTCGTAGTACGGGAAGGGAGTGACGGTGCACGCTCGCTCACTTGCTGCACCTCCTCCTCTTCTTCCTCTGCATCATTGGCCTCCTCTCCCCCATTCACAAGGGAGGATTGCCTTGTGGTTGTGCTGCCGCTGCTCAGCTCCAAAGGCAGCTCCACATGCTCCAAACCGGAACTCTTCACCTCCCCAAACCGCACGCCTATCTTCGCCTCATTCTCCGCCTTCCAATCCTTGTACATGAAGTTCTCCATGAACTTGCAGTCCCTGCTCACCAAGAACTTCTTGGTGAATGGGTCCCAAAGAAGCCATCCCTTGCTGTTTTGAGCCATGCCCAAGTGCACGGCCCACACCGCCTTGGCACCAAGCTTGTTGTGCCAAAGATGCTTAGGCACGAGCGCCATGCACATGCACCCGAACACCCGAAGCATATCCACCTTTGGCTTCCTTCCTAGCCACTCCACATAGGGCACCCATTTGTCTGCTCCCACATGAGTCAAGGCTCGGTTCTTGGCCACACACGCGCTCCGCACCGCATCAGGCCAGAAATAGTCGGGTAGCCCGGCTTCAATGAGCAACCCGCGTGCCGCCTCCGTGATTGTGCGGTTCGCTCGCTCGGCGATGCCGTTCATTGCAGGGAAGTATGGCATGGTGAGGGAGTGCCGAATACCATTCTTCTTCAGCCACAACCCAAACTCCTTGTTCAGGAACTCTTCCCCTCGATCGGTGCGGATTGACTTGACTAGACGGTCTTGTTGCCGCTCCACCATCGGGAACCAATCCGCCTTCAACGTTTCAGCCACGTCGCTCTTCTTGGCCAGCACGTACACCCAAGTCATACGGGTGTAGATGTCCACAATAGTGAGGAAGTACTCAGCTCCAGCAGCTCCAAGCTTCAGGGGGCCCACCACGTCCATCACCACCTCATCAAGTGGTGCCTTAGCCGTTGCCTCCGAACTAGAGAATGGGAAACGGGTGAACTTGGCTTGCATGCACGTCGGGCAGCCAAGTACCTCATCGGGCTCCCCCTTCACACGTATGCCAGCAACCATCTCATTCTTTACTAGCTGCTGCAAGATGGGCAGGGCCACATGCCCCATGCGCCGATGCAAGGTGAGCCAATCACACTCCCCCGTAGCCGAAGTTGGATTGGAGAATGCCGCGCTCGCAATAGCGCCCCACATACTCTCTCCGTAGTCCTCCTCCGCTGCTGCCTCGGGGTTCTTCTCACCCTTTTGCTGCTCCTTGGCTGCTGCACCTCTCTCCATAGGTTCACCAAGCTTGCTGGTCCCTCCAAGATTGCACTTCTTGGACTCCTTCTCCTTAGCGCGACCGTCCGCGCAATCGCCGCTACCAACCGCTCCACCTTTGGTGCTGATGCTTGCTGCCACTTGCCTCTCCTTAGGCATAGGGACCACTGGGATCTGCCACATCTCGTTGTAGACATCCCTGTCCTCATGAAGGTCCCAAAGAATTCGATCGCCAAGCCTTGCGGTGTAGGTCTTGGCTCCCTTCGAGTTCGTGTCCATGCCGGCCTTTGCCAACCGCCGCACGGAAATCAGGTTTGCAGCAAGGCTGGGCACCCAAAGCACGTTCTTGAGGCCCACCATCTTCCCATCAGCACCCTTGAACATGGCCTTGCCCATGCCTTTCACCTCTGCTCGCTGCCCCAAAGCCGATGTGACATGCTTCACCGGTGACGGCTCGAGTTCGGTGAGCAAGTCCGGGCGAGGTGTCATGCTATAGGTAGCGCCACTATCAATCACCCAATAGTCCAGGGGGTGTAGGGTCACCTTCCCCACAGCTGCTGGCTCCTCAAAGTCTTCATCCTTCTCTGGACCAGCCGGTACTTGAGTCGACACGAAGTAGAATAGACCCGGGTATCGATCGTCGCTCGGGTCCTTGTCGTTGTCTCCGCTCTTCATGTTTGCAGCTCCGCCACCGCGACCGCCACGGCCTCCACGGCCTCGTCCTCTCCCTCCTCCTGCTCCTCTACCCTCTTGGCCTTGAGCAGGGGTCCAACCATCAGGGAGTTTGTAGCAGTCGCGCCACATGTGTCCGCTCTTGTGGCAATAGTGACACTCGCCGTCGAATCGGCCGCGACCGCGTCCGTAGCTCTTCTCGTCGCTGCCGTAACCGCCACTCCCGCGGCCTCCGCCGAAGTTGCTGCCACCAAACCTTCCTCCCCCTCGTCCTCTGCCTCTTCCTCGACCATATCCACGGCCGATGCTCGCTGCCCCAGCGCCATCCGCACTCGCCAACCCACGGCGGCGGAAATCCTCTTGAAGGATAGCTCGCTTCACGTCTTCAAGCGAGAGGCGGGGCAAGTCGCGATTAAGGTTGATGATGAGTGAGGACCATGACTCACGGAGTAGGGCCAGCAACTTGGTCTTCTTTTGGAGCTCACTATAGTTCAAATCAGCTCCCTCAAGCCGCGTCAACAAGTCGAAGAATTTCTGCACCCCTTCTTCAACCGCTTCATCCTCTTCAATTCGTAGTGTCGCCATTTGCCGTTCCAACACCACAGCTACCGCCGCTGTTGCAGGAGCGTGTACACCCTTGAGAGCAGCCCATGCCTTTGGACCCTTCTCTGGTTCACGCTGGAAAGGCTTGATGTGACGGATTTGGCTGCTCCCCAACGCTTGCCCTAGTAGGAGGTAGCCTTGTGCGCTCTTCCGCACCCACGGGCTCTTCTCCGGGTCGTTCTCGGGGCGCTTCTCCGTTCCTTCCATCACCTCCAGCAGGTCATAGTGATCAAACACGTTCTCCATTCTGAAGGACCACTCAGCAAAGTTGTCACCGTTGAACTTGTCAAGGCCAAACACTCTAGGCTCATCCCTAGATGGGCCAACACTTGGTTGCACGGGCGCCATGGCTGAGTCACGGGGTTGGCCTTGAGCTTGGGCTTCTCCACTGCCACCAGCACCTCTGCCACCCCTTTCCTCAGGTCCAGCAATTGTCGAAACTGCTCCAAGGGGCTCTGATACCACTTGTTATAGTCACAATAGGCTTGAATGTGCCTAAAACGAAAGATAGAGAGCACAGACGGATTTCTGCACAGCGGCTTCAAACGTTGATAGCGTTCTGCTCACAGCTGCAAATGACTTGATTCAAATTGGATCTGGAGCGTCTTCACGTCGTCTACAATTAGCAATTTAGATTGCACGATTTGATAAAGAATTGACGACACAGCGTCGGTTTGAACGAACGGTACTATGGCAGCCACTATAGTCTTAGAACACAAGATAGGAAGAGTTAGGAAGAGTTACGAGTTGGGAATGACTCCCAGCTCCTACAAACCCCAAGAGCCGAGGTACAGTGATGTGGAACAGTGCCACACTGTCCCCAACCAAGAAGGGTCTCGAAACTACCCTTCACAAGGGCCTACACCAACTGAAATGTTACACTACACAAAGTAATGTAACTATCTTCAATATCTTGAGGTGTACCCTTTTGGCGAGCTTCGCGATCACTTGAATGTTGACACCAGGGGCTCGGGTTCTTCATCACAAACTCATCCTTGAGTTCTTGATGGGTCTGCTGCACACACCTGCGACACGCCGAACGTTCGACACAGGACAAAATAGGAACCGCGCGAGACACACAAGCGACAAGATAGAAACCGCGCGGGACACGAATAGCGATAACTCGCTATTGACTTGACACGCACACATTCGACATCATGACTCAACATTCACACACTATTATAAGCATTAAATATATATTATCTCATGCCCTCATACCATTCCATGCACACACGCATGCACGCACACGGACAACAAGCCGAGTGCAAACCGTAGGGTTGCACCAACACCTCCCCCCTTTCCCCATCGCCCCATTCTCCCCTTCCCCACTCCCCACCCTTCCCACCCGCATACCTCCAGGTGCCGCCCTCCTTCCCTACTGGTTCAGCCTGGATGGTGCCCTTTGAGATCAACGCCCCTGTGTGGGGCGACTGACTGTGCCTTACCCACTTCCCCATTCCCCCGTCCCCCCTCCCCCCAACCTCCAGGTGCCGCCATCCTTCCCCACGGGGTCAGCGTGGATGGTGCCCTTCGAGGTCAACACCCCTGTGTGGGGCGACTGTGCATTCGCCGTGCATCAGTGGACAGGTAGCATTTGGGAAGGTAGCTCGTGGGGAGGTAGCACGTGAGGAGGTAGCATGTGGGGAGGTAGCATGTGGAGAGGTAGCACATGGGGAGGTAGCACGTGGGGAGATACCACGTGGGGAGATAGCATGTGGGGAGGTAGCGTAACACGTGGGGAGGTAGGATATGGGCAGGTAGCATTTAGCCAATGCGCATCTGGACTGATAATACCTGGAGAAAAAGGCTCGGTGCTGTGACTTTGGCATGTAATACAGGACGGAATCTAGGTAGGCCGGATTTGAAGAGGTAGCATCTAGGCAGGTTAGACGTGTGCAAAGGGCATACTCCATACGGTGTATTGAGTTCTCTGCCCCATACCCTTTGTCAGATACCCCTCACGGCTTTCACTCTCTACCCCTCTCGCCTAATCTCTGTACCTCTTGAGTACTAAGCAGCACTCTATTTTTGAGGCGCCTCAGAAATAGACGCTTCATCTTCGTACCTCCCAAATACCAGCAGCAGGGAGAAAGAGTGCAGTCTCGTGCTTGTCGTTGCATTTGAGTCGTCTCAATGATTGTTAATTCTCGCTCTCCATTCCACATCCCCCTACCCGCCAGGCAACAGCAGCAGGGACGAGAGCGAGCCCGTGTTTGTCTTCGCTTTCCACTCGGCTTTCCTACGCATCGGCCTCACTCGAATAACCCTTCACGAGGTAACGCCTTCCCCTGTACCGCCCTACTCTTCTTCCCTTAGAGCACCGGTCTTACTTGAATAACCTTTTACGGATTAACACGTGAATAGCCCTACATGAGGTAAGGTAAGGCGTGGATTCACCTCCGCCCTTCTCCCTTGTTGTATTCTTGTTAAGTTCCTACACCCTCCTTACCAGAATGGGCTCGTACACCCTCCTCTTCCCATCTCTATCCCCTCCACCCTTCTCCCCTTTTTCTACCACCCCATCTGCTCGACTGTGCGTATGGGGGAGGCAATTACCCGCCGATTTCCCCTCTTAGTACCCAACCAGCTCAGCTCCTCCTCTACTGCTTCACTTTTCCTCCCCTCCGTTCACCCCCTTTTCTACCACCCCAGCAGCTCGACTGTGCCTACGGGGGAGACATCCAAGTGCCTTCTTCATTGAGGAAAGGATAGGGGGACTTCAATAATGTACTCACAGAGATACCACGCCCACCTCTCCCTTCTTCCCCGCCTGCACACCCCCTTCCCTCTCCCATCCCCTGCTCGTCAACTCAACTGTGCCTACGGGGAGACATCCAAGTGACTGCAGACCCTAGCAAGCAGACCCTGCCTTCTCTTTCCCTTCTCCCCCTCCTCCTCCTTTCCCCGAACCAGCTTGACTGTGCATACGGGGGGGACATCCAAGTACCGGCCGATTTCTTCATCGACGTGCTGATAGATATGCCGCAGCCACGTGGCGGCGTGACATTGGCCGACGCCAACCCCGACGGCGCGCCAGCTGGCACGATGCTGACGTGGCAGCAGCTTCTGGCGGCGTACCGGGATAACTTTGTGGAAGCTTCCAGGAAGCAGTGGATGGCTCAAGAGAGGGAAGAGACGAGGCTGGGGAGAGCTGAGGCAGAGGGGAGTGAGCGGGAGGGAGAGGAAGGAGTGAACGGGAGAGGCAGCAGCACGTTCACATCGGATCAGCAAGAGCATTTCAAACGGGAGATTTCTCAAAGTGCTCTTGCAACGGAGGCAGTAGACGGGAGGGGCAGGGTGCCTCCGTTGCAAGAGCAACAGAGGGACCGGAGGGATGCAGTGGGGGATGGGGTGGGGGATGAGAGGAGGAGCCTGGCTCGCAGCCTGGTGACAGAGGTGCAAGCCCACCCTCTCCTGCGCCACACAGGGCAAGCAAGCCACCCGGGCATGCTGTGTGTGCTGTCCATGCCGCCCGGTGTGGCATCCATGCCGCCCGGAACAGCGTTCATGTCGCCTGAAGTGATGTCCTCTCGATACGAGTTCCCTCCCACTCCCACAACGCCTCACATGCCGCCCTCCCCCCACTCGCCCCTTCCCCACTCACCCCTCCCCCAACTTGCATCCCTTTCCGAAGATTTCAGCCTCTCCCATTCCTCCTCTGCTGCTCCTCTCTCCTCCGCAAGCCAGCCGTCACAGGAGCTCGACTCTCTAGCTGATCTCCTCATTCGCATGTCTCTGTCTACAGGCTCGCGCCATAGCATGGGCGGTGGGGCCTTGAAAGGGGTTGACAGGCATAGCATGGGGCCTGGGGGGTCAAGGGGGGGCGAACGGCATAGCGTGGCGGGTGGGGGGTTAAAGGGGGGCGACAGGCACAGCAAGGGTGTGAGATTTGAGAAGGGGGGGAGAGGCACAGCATTGGGGGTGGGAGTGTGAAGGGGAGAGCCGTGGGTGAGGGGAGCATGGTGGGGGGTGCAGAAAGGATGGGGCAGGAAGGGAGTATAGGGGGGAAGGGGACCATGGGGTTTGCGGGGGGGATGAGGTGGGAGGGGAGCATGGGGGGTGCGGAGGGGATGGGGGAAGAGAGGCAGAGCATGGGGAATTGGGGAGTGGATGTGAGCGCTATAGGTGGGGAGGGGAGTGTGGGGAGCACGGATGGTATGGGAGGGGATTGGGAGGGCATGGGTAGTGGGGATGCAATGGGGGGAAAGTGGGAAGGCAAGGGCATGGGTAGTGAGGATATGAGGGTAGTGAGGGAGGTGAGAGAAGCAGGAGGAGAGTGGAGAGCAGGGGCGGGTGAAGCAAAAGGGGATCACTTGAGAGCAAGTGCCACTCGTCCGGCCGGCCACATGACAAGAGGAACAGAACCAATTGCTTCTCTACCTGAAGCGTTCTCATTATCACCCTCAACAGCAGCAGCAGCAGCAGCGGCATCAGCAGCACAAGTACCAACACTATCATCATCATCATCATCTAGAGGAGCAGCAGGAGCAGCAGCGGAGGCACATCCTCCACCTCCCTCCTCTCCCCCTCTCAAAACCACACCCGTTCAACCTACCCAAGCCCCCCCTCCTCACCCAACCCCTCCTCCGCCTCCCCCTCCCCCTCCCTCCGGCCGTCCCCCCCCTCCCCCTCCCCCTATCCGCCTAGCCTCAGGCAAGCTTGCTGCGCCTGTGATGGGGGGAAAGCAGGGAGAAGGGGAAGGGGGGAGGGTGGAGGGGGAAGGGGACCTTTTCCCCCCTGCCCGCCCCTTGCACTGTTCCAAAGTGACTAATGTGAAAGGGACAGTATGGGAGGAGATAGAAAGAGAGAGAGTGGTTGAAGAGGAGAGAGAAGAGACAGTAGGGGATGGGGAGAGCAAAAGCAATAGCTGTAGCAGTCTTGTATCGAAGGTGACACTACCAGATGACATGAGACGAGCCATCCGGGTGCTTTTTCAGGTAAAAGCAACAAAATCAGGTGGAAAGTCGAAGACAGGAGGAGGGGTGCAAGGAGAAGGGGGAGGACAGGGGGGGAGGAAGGGACTAGGGAAAGATGAGTTACAAGTGGTTGGTTTGGCTCGCGCTAACAACGTAGCCATCATGCTCACTCAATTCCGCATGCCCGATAATCAAATCCGAGATCTGATCCTCGCAGGAGATCCTAAGCACGTGCTGCCACCTGACCGCCTGGGCCTGCTGCTTCAGGTGATTCCAACAGAGGAGGCGGCGAGGGTCAGAGCAGTCTCAGGTGCTGCTTCAGGTGCCATGTGTGCACCTGAGCGCTTCCTTTGGTCCATATCCCTGATCCCAAGAATGAGGAGGAAAATCGAGGCGCTAATGTTTGTGCGGCATTTTCACACCATAGTCAATGATGCCCGGGCAGTCATAAAAGTTTTTTGTCCTGCAGCCCGAGCGATTCGCAGCAGCAAGATTTTCCGGGCAGCGCTTGCAGCGGCGCTTGAAGTGGGGAACGAGCTCAACCGAGGCAGAGCAAGGGGTGAGTTGTGGTGAAGCACGGTGAGACGGGGTCGAGTGGGTTGGGAAGGGTTGGAGAGGGGTGGGACGGGAACCATAGGTCTAGTACGGGAAGCATTGGGGGAAGTGGCAAGGGTTGGGAATGGCAGGCAGGGAAAGGGAAAGTAGCGAAACTGGTGCAAAAAAAACCAACACTCATAAGATCCTCTTATAAAAAGCCCCACATGCGACACTCTCTCATCCCCTTCTCACCCTTCCCCCCCTCCTCCATCCCCCCTGATTTCCAGGTTCAGCCCGCGGGTTCTCTCTGGATTCCCTCGCCCGCCTGTCAGAGGTGCGAGTCACTCCTCCATCCCACCATGCCAAGGGCCTCGACACACTGTTAACCGCCTCCCAGGTGGCTTCTGAGTCGACGCAGAAGTCAAACTCCTCCCAGATTCTGCCTCCTGGCTCTCGATTCTCGCGCACACAGTCCTTCCCTGTCACTCGTGCCAATGCCCCCTCATCCACCTCCTCCTCCTTGTCCTCGTCCTCCCCATCCCCTTCCCCGTTTTCCTCCTCTTCCTCCTCCTCTGCTCGTCCCTCCTCCCCGTTCCCCACATCCTCAACCCTCGCTGCCACCACACCTGCAGCCTCCCCTTTCCCTTCCCACCCTTCCCACCCTTCTCATCCCTCGCCCCTGATCGCCGGTGCAACAACGCTCCTCGACGTGGTGGTGATTATAACGAGGGGAAGCAACTCAACCAGCGCAGAGGGGGGAGAGGAGGGAGCAGGGGAATTGGGGAGCAGCCTTGTGGGCAGTGCAGTCAGAAACAAGGGAGGAGAGGGGGGAGCAGGGAGGCGAGGGAAGCTGACAGTAGAGCTGGCAGCAGTGGGGGAGGCTGTTAGGATGTCCCAGGCTGAGGTGGCGGATGCCACGTGAGCACTGGACACTGGCCTGCGATTGGTGGATGAGGAGGTGCGGCTTCTGCAGTAGGAGAGAGAAGAGGCGAGGCTGGAGGAGGGGGAGGCAGATCAGGAGGAGGAGGAAGAAGAGCGGAAGGAGAGGGAGGAGGGACAGGGGAAGGGGCACGATAGCAAGGGTGAGGTGGAGAGGCAGCGGAAGGGGAAGAGGGTAGGGGAGGGCGGGCTGATGACTGTGCTAGCAGAGTTCAGATTGAGTGCAAGGAAGGAGAGGGAGGAGCTGGCCACGGATGCTGAGGAGTGCAGGTGAGCACAATGCGCTGCTGTGGGAGTTTCATATGGCTGTTAGGAGTGTAGTATTCACTGTATAAATTGTTGTCATCCGTAGTAGTGTAGCATACCTACATACATCCAATTCGCAACATCCGTGTGTCAACGTCTTGGTGAACTTGGTGTGCGCATTGGCATTCTCTCTGTCCTATCTTTTCTCCCATCAGGTCAACGCTTCGACAGCTGGCATGCTACCTTGGGGAGTCAAAACCCCAACCGTCGACATCAGATGTAATACCCCTCCCTCGTTAAATTGTTCACCAACCTTCAACCCACAACCATTCCTTCAAATTTGTTGGTTGGCACTCTTTCCTTGACATCCCGACATTGAAGTTATGTTTGACATTTGCCACGGGGAGTTTTCATGTGCAGGCGCTGTTTGCATCGCTGTGGTCGTTTGCCACTCTCTTTGATCGAGCACAAGCGGCGCTTCACATGTGACACATTCACAACCTTACCTTTGGCGACTCACTCCATGACTGCTGACGGCAACATGTTGGCCCTCACACGAGGAATAGATTAGAGTTCTGATCAGTGGTATGGTGGAAAACATTCAGGCGTCATATAGAGTCGACATATTTGGGCTGAACTACTGAGGCATTTTTTGGGTTGCACGGCTAAGCATCTTAAGTTTCTTCTGTCAGTATTAGTATGAGTTCAAGGCTAAACAATAGCTCAAGAACAAGTTGAAGAGCCAGGTGTTGAATATTGATTGTTTACTCTGTTAGGCGTCGCAGGGCTTGTCGCATACCTGACAGTCTCGAAGCAACAGCCGGAGGTGAAGGTCGAGCAAATCAACATCATCCGCGTCGGCATCACAAAATCCAGCGGCGGGTTCCTGGGCCTCGAAAACTTCCGCCTTGGCCTATCCGCGTTAATAAACGTCATCGCACTCGTGTATAATCCCAACAACTGGAAAGTGGAAGCGGAAAACATCAGCGTGGACGTAAAATTCTTCGACATGAATATTAAAAATGTGACCGTCCCCGGCGTTGTGGGTTGTCAGAACATTATAGCTTTTACGTTTGTGTAGGCTCTAGTGGGGTAGCCCATAAGGGGTACAACCCAATTAGGGTTAGTACTTGTACCCAACTCTTTGCTAGTTCATTCATTCTCGTTCGTTATTCTAACATGGAATCAGAGCAGGTTCCTTGGGCCCACCACCTGCTACGCTACTAGTACCCCCCCTAGGCCTGTCGCTCCTAGCCTACGCAGCTCGTCGACCCCTAGCCCGCGACCCGTCGGCCCCTAGCCCCGCGCCCGGCCCCGTTCTTAGCCCGCGCCCGGCCCCGTCGGCCCTTAGCCCCGCGCCTGACCTCGTACCTAGCCCGCAACCGGCACGTACCTAGCCCGCGACCGACCCGTACCTAGCCCGCGCCCGGCCCCGTCCCTAGCCCGTGACCGGCCCGTACCTAGCCCGCGATCGGCCGTACCTAGCCCGCGCCCGGTTCCGTCTCTCGCCCGCGCCTGGCCTCGTACCTAGCCCTCGCCCGGCCCGTATCTAGCCCGCGCCCGGCCCGTACCTACCTCGCGACCAGCCCGTACCTAGCTCGCGACCGGCCCGTACCTAGCCCGCGCCCGGCCCCGTCTCTCGCCCGCGCCTGGCCCCGTACCTAGCCCGCGCCTGGCCCGTATCACGCCCGCGCCTGGCCCCGTACCTAGCCCGCGCCTGGCCCGTACCTAGCCCGCGCCCGGCCCGTACCTAGCCCGCGCCTGGCCCCGTCCTTCGCCCAGCGCCCAGCCCCGTCTCTTGCTCGTGCCCGGCCCCGTAACCAGCCCGCGCCCGGCCCGTACCTAGCCAGTGCCCGGCCTGTACCAAGCCCGCGCCTGGCCTCGTCCCTCGCCCAACGCCCGACCCCGTCTCTCGCCCGCGCCCGGCCCCGTACCTAGCCCGCGCCCTTTCGTTCCTAGCCCGCGCCCGGCCCCGTCCCTCGCCCAGCGCCCGGCCCCGTACCAAGCCCATGCCCGGCCCGGTCCCTAGCCCAGCACCCGGCCCCGTACCTAGCCCGCGCCCGGCCCCGTCCCTAGCCCAGCGCCCGGCCCCATACCTAGCCCAACGCCTGGCCCGGTCCCTAGCCGCACCCGGCCCCGTACCAAGCCTACGCCCGGCCCCGTACCTCGCCCGCGCCCGGCCCCGTCCCTAGCCAGCGCCCGCCCCCCCCCCCACTGTCACTGCTGCTACTGCTACAGCTGCTACTGCTGCTGCTATTGCTGCTACTGCTATCCTACGTGCTGCACAGCTATGGCTTCGCTTTGGGTTCTCGCGTTTGATCATGAGGGCAGACCAGTTCAGTTTGACACGTGGCTTGACGACCTGCAGCTGTACCTACTGAGCGATTCTAAGGACTGTGTCTCACTGTTTGACCTAGCGTCAGGCGCCGCAGCTGACAGCTCGACTCGCTCACAGTGGCTTACTCGTGACGCTACTGCCCGCTTAGCCATTCGCAACCACCTGCCATTAGCTGAATGCGCTCACTTCGGACAGCACAATACAGCGCAGGCACTGTACGACGCTGTAGTCGCTCGCTACTCCTCCCCTGCCACTGCTGCTCTAGGCCGCCTTCTTCTGCCCTACCTGTTCTCCGAGCTGTCCGCTTTCGCCAAAGTCGAGGACCTTGTTTCCCACCTTCGCGCTAGTGACGCTCGCTACCGCGCTGCCGTTCCTGCTGAGTTCCTTGACAGGAACCCGCCCCCGATGTACATCACTCTCTACTTTATAGTCACCCGCCTCCCTGACTCTCTTCGCTCTGTTAGGGACCACTTCTTCTCTCTTGACCCCACCTCCCTCACTGTTGACCTCCTCGAGAAGCATCTCCTCGCAGCTGAGACTAGTGCAGTTGCTGTAGGTGCTGCTCGTGGCAATCCACGCCCGGCCTTCTTTGAGGGGTGTTCCCCCTCCCCCCTTGCCCCCTCCTACGCCTCTACTGCTGCTGCGGACGTCTCTGTTCCTGAGGACGTCGGGGCTGCTTCTGCTAGTGCGAAGCGCCGCAGCAGCAAGGGCAAGGGTGGCAGGGGTGGTGGAGGTGGCAGCGGCGGTGGTGGAGGTGGCAGCGGGAGTGGTGGTGGGGGCAGCAGTGGAGGTGGTGGCGGCGGTGGGACTGTTGGCGGGAGTGGGGGCTCTGGTGGCGGTGGTGGAGGCAGCGGTGGGAGTGGCGGCAGTGGAGGCGGTGGGACTGGTAGCGGTGGGACTGGCGCTCGACGTGTCGGTACTAGGGGTGGCCAGCGTCAGCAGCAGCAGCGTCGGAGCGAGACCCCGTCTCCCCAGCAGCTTCGTGAGTGGTTTCTGCGTGGGGCGTCTGGGGGTAGTTGCCCGTATGTCATTCGCACATGTGACCGTGCTGGTCAGACTTGCGGGCGGCTTCTCCCGTCTCGACGTCGCTTGGCGTGCTGAGTTTGGTGACGACTTCGAGCTCCCCCGCTGGGCAGATCTGCTTAAGTCTAGGATTGCTATCTTTGATGCTATTCTCTCTGCTATGTATGCTTTGTCTGTTAGTGCTGAGGGTGACTGTTACCGGTGTGTGCCGCCTGACCCAGGTATAGCCGCTGCTGCTCTAGGTGCTAGTGAGTCTGGTACTCTCCCTAGTACTGCGCCTGCTCAGGCCTTGCACACTTTCACGTTGGACTCCGGCGCCTCACACTGTTTCTTTCGTGACAGCACCACCCTCACTCCTCTTCCTGCACCTGTCCCGATCAGACTGGCTGACCCCTCCGAGGGCCCGGTCGTGGCCCGTTCCTCCACTGTCCTCCCGTGTCCGGCGGTTCCGTCCGGCTCACATTCAGGTCTTCACCTCCCCTCGTTCTCTACGAACTTGGTGAGTACCGCTGCCCTCCAGGATGCGATGGTCACTACCACCACTCCTGGGGGTCAGCGTGTGTCGATCTGCACGTGCACACGGACGGGGCATCACCTGGCAACATTCACTCGTCGGCCAGGGTCGAGTCTGTACACACTCGCTACCGAGCCTTCTCAGGTAGCTGCGTCTGCTCAGGTGTCCGCGTCAGGTCAGGTAGCCGCCTCGTACTCGTGTCGCCTCCTATCGCACCAGACTCTTCTGTGGCAGCACCGCCTGGGTCACCCCTCCCTGCCTCGCCTTCGTGGCATGCACTCTCGTTTTCTTGTCTCTGGTCTCCCCAGGTCTCTGCCTCCCCTGCCGCCCTTGCCTGCCCCGCCCTGCCTCCCGTGCGTCGAGGGGTGGCAACGCGCCGCTCCTCACTCCTCCTTGTTTCCCCCGATGACTGCTCCCCTGCAGACTCTCCACATGGACGTGTGGGGCCCAACCCACGTCAGTGGACAGAGCCGCGAGCGCTACTTTCTGCTGGTAGTTGACGACTACTCGCGGTACACCACGGTCTTCCCCTTGCGCAGCAAGGGTCAGGTCGTTGATGCCTTGATCCCTTGGATCCGCACAGTCCGTCTCCAGCTCCGCGAGCGCTTCGGCCAAGACCTTCCTGTCCTACGTCTGCACTCTGACAGAGGTGGTGAGTTCTCCTCCAACCTCTTGTGGGACTTTTGTCGTGGGGAGGGCATTCTCCAGTTGCTCACGCTTCCGAACTCCCCTCAGCAAAATGGGATTGCTGAGCGCCGCATTGGCTTAGTCATGGAGGTCGCTCGTACCTCCACGATCCATGCGGCCGCTCCCCATTTTCTGTGGCCGTTTGCGGTCCGGTACGCTGCGCATCAGCTCAACC